GGGCTGGCTACAGCACAGATCATGGGTCCGCCATTACAGTTCCTGATTCAGGAACTTGGGTAGGGCCAAGAACTTGCATTTCTAATGAATTCCCAGGGGATGCTGCTGCTGCTGGTCTGAGGACTCCCTTTGAAAACCACTGCCCTAGATGGTCCGTCGCAGCCCCTGATCCCTCTGACCTCTTCTTCCACTTCTGCCTCTTTGGACATGCCATGCGCCTTGCCGCTGTTTGAAGATGACAGATCTGTGCCTGCCTCCGAGCCTTTTTCTCTTCTGTTCCTTCAGCCTGGAATTCTCTTCCCTCAGTTCTCTGTGTGGGCTGCTCCTTCACCAGCATGGTAGCCAGCTTCCAGTACGGCCCCGATGCCTGTCACTCACGCCCTTGTAAGTCCCTCCCTGCTGTTGCCAGGGTTGGTCTGTGTGACCAGTAGAATTTGGTGGTCACGATGGAACATCACTTCTGGGGCACGGTTATAAAAGACGGCATGGAACCCCGGCTCCTGCCACATCCAGTGACCCGCCTTGGAAGTAGCACCTCCGGCCCAGTCAAGCCCTCAGTGATGCAAGAGATGATGCTGCGCTGGCTGCAGCCTCATGGCAGAGCCTGTGCCACAGCCACCCAGCTCCGCCGTCCCCGGTTCCTGCCTCACCCAGTCTGGGGGACAATGCGTGTTGACTTAAGCTGCCACGGTTGGCGTAATGTGTGATGCAGCAATAGATAATAGTAAATGTGTCTGTCTCATTGAGGCATTCCTTAGCCACCTGACCAAAATTGCGCCCCCTTCTAATAACACTTCCTATCCCCCTTCTCTGCTTTGTTCTCTTTAGTACATACCGCCACCTGACCTGATATGTTTTACTTATTTATTACCTGTCCCCTGGCCTGACTTCCTCCCTCCACCCCCATTAGAAATACTTTAAATTTTCATTCATTGGAAATTTTATATATTGATAGTCAGAAACTAGCATAGCGTCATGACTCTGAGAATATAAGCTGAAGGAGGAAGGAGTCCAACCCGCCAAAGTTCCTGCAGTATCGCCGGTGCTGAGAGCAGTGCCAGATACAGAGTAGGCCCTCAAAGAGAATAATAATTAATAATATATCAATATATAAAGTCATATATTAATATTATAATCAACAATACAATTCATTACATTAAATATCTATCACATACTTAGGTTATAAACATTTATCATATGACAGTAAATTTACAACGCTAATTTTGAGTGGTGCACAGATTAAAGCAGCACGGGCCGCCTCAGCGCCCAGAGCCCCCGCGCGAGCTCGGGGGCGTTGGTGTGGCTGGCACGTGGTGGTCTCTGCTGTCAGACTGAGCCCCAGCTCTGCCGTTTCTCACTGAGGCCTCAGTGTCTTCCACTAAAAATAGCAATGATAGCACCCATTTCATAGTGTTTTGCGACCACTGAAGGGGACACCCCATGTGGGGGACCTGAAGTGGGCCAGGCACAAATGGCTGTGCAAAGAACAGTAGTCTCCCATTTAGCTTTCAGAAGGGGTTAGGAATATTCAGTGGCCAGAGGCCCCTAACTGGGCGGGGGCGTGTGCAAAGCCAGTGGCCCAGGAAGGAAGCGCCATGTGTGGGAGGGGATCAGAGGCTCTGCTGTGAGTGGCCTGGGGGACAGCAGAGCAAGACCTCCAGGTGCTGAGGGCTCCCACGGCTCGCTGCACCTTGCGTTCTCCCGAGGGCTGGCCCCACCCCTGGACTGGGGCACGGGGCCCTCCCGGGAGTCTCCTGGGACACGCCTTCCTCGTTAAGGCAGAGAACATGGCAGAGTGACCGGACAGTGACCGAGCTTCCAGATGAGGAGGGACAATGGCTGGAGGTGGGGCAGCAGGGCTGCTGTCTGTCTAGGAAAACCTGAGTCCCGCAGACCCTCCTGGTGGGGAAAACGTGGGCCAGGAGAGAAGCCACAGCTGGGGCCACCACCAAACAAGGGAAGGAAAGAAACAAGAGGTGGGGGAGCAGAGTCAGTGAGAAAGCCAGAAAGAGGAGTATTAGGAAAAAAAGACGCAAAGGTACAGGGGAGTATAGGAATCTCAGATTCCAGCCAGTGCTCGTACCTGTGGTTATTTCACCTGATAGCCACTGGGGGCAGCAGAGAGCCACCGCACAGCCAAGGGAAGGGACCAGTCAGGAGTCCACCAGTGAGCGGGGTTGGGGAGTATGGGGGAAGCCAAGACTTAAGGTGAGCCCAAGACAAATCACTATGACCAGTCACCTAGTTCCAGAGACTTCTTGTGGCTTTCCCACTAGAAGCCAATACCTCGAGTGCAAGCAGGATGCAGTCTTAGCAAGGCAAACCGACACCCAAAAGTGACTGTTGAAAATTAGTAACTCCTACCCCATGTGCTGTTTTATTATAAGTATTACTATTGTTATTGTCGTTATCTTAAGGAGGGCGCATCTGTGGTCTGAAAGCCAGATTTACGTCACCTTCCACCTTTCAAGTGTACTCCCTCTTTAAAAGTTTTATTCTACATGGGGAGCCACTGTAATCTGCCGATGGGGAAATTACAATTTCTGGCTTGTAGCCTCGGTGGCTAGAATAGCAGCCCCCTCAGGCTGGTCTGACCCACAGGCAGGTCAGCTGTGCATGCTGGGCTCCCCTGGTGTCAGTGGGAGAGGCCCAGCGTGAGTTGGGGTTGCCTTTAGGAAACAACGTGTTTCTCCGGACACAGGTTGGGTGGGGCTCTCCGGGAGAACATCTCACTTCTTCCACCCACCTTCCCAGGTCCCCAGAGCCTCTGGGACCTGCACAGCAGTGGCTCTGTTAGGAGTCTGGATGGTCACCTGGGACGCCCCAGAACCCCAGGGATGTAACCCCAGAGAATGCAGAAGGGCCTCAACCCAGAGGAACGTGGGCCCCAAGCTGGCCCTGCAGTTTTGCTTCTGCTTGGTCGGGGGCCTGGTGTGCTGTAAATAGATGAGCGAGCCTTTCGTTGGAAAGATCTGGAAATGGCTTCCTTCCTGTGGGAGGTATGGCCATCCGGGCTGAAGGTTCCCACCGCAGGTGAGGTCGCTCTGCCCCAGGCTCAAGGTGGCTTTGTGTTCTCGGTTGGTCAGCGCACGCCAAGCCTGGGAGATGGACAGGAACAGACCCTTGGGCAGCTGTGTTGTCCCTGCTGGAGCCCTGGAGGATTCTCCAGGCCTTGGTGTCTGAGCACCAGGCAGCATGCCCCTCCCGCCTGGGGAAGGCACTGCACCTGCTCTTCCGCCCACTCCTCATGAAAGACCCTGTTGCTTGCTTGTTCCCGGTCACACACTTCCTGCTGCTTCCCTCACTTGCCCTCCATTCTGCTTTCCTTCCATTGAGAAAGCAAAGGGGAAAGGGAAAGACTCCATATTACCACCCAACTCCCAGCGCTGTAAGCTCCTTAAACCCAAACAGGGTTGGAAGATCAGCCATCGAAGTTGCAGGGCAAGAATGTTGAGGCCTAAAAGACCAGCTAGCCCAACCCCTTTGACTGGGATGAAGAATTGGAGGACCAGAGAAGGAGAGGGCCTTGCCCCGGGGCTGCCAGCCGGTTAGAGGCAGAGCTGCGGCCAAACCCCAGCTGTTTTGAATCCTAATTGAGTGAAGCCATTGAAAAAGTTTTGCCTGTTTTCACTTTAAATATTTGAGACAAATATTAGAATTTTTTGATTAACATTATATTCAGACATTGGGTTAACTTTAAAAATAACTTCATGCTAAGCACTTGCATATGGGCATTTGGCTGGAAGACAGTGACTGCCTGGGGCAGATATCGCTATCCATCTCAGTTACAGAGGAGGAAGCTGAGGCGCTGAGAGCACTTGGCCGGTGGTAAGAGGCAGAGCTGGGATTCAAACTCAGGCAGTCTAGCTCGAGACCCTCTGCTGTTAATGGATTCTGTTCTCTATCCAAGGGGTTCCAACCTTTTGGTGTCTCTGGGCCCCACTGGAAGAAGAAGAGTTGTCCTGGGCCACACGTTAAATACATTGTGACATGTAATCACAAAAAAAAAATCTCATCATGTTTTAAGTAAATTTATGATTTTGTCTTCGCCCACATCCACAGCCATCCTGGGCTGCACGTGGCCCGCAGGCTGCAGGCTGGACACCCCTGCCTCTATCTGGCACATTCAGTGATTTTGGAAAGACACTCATAAAAGTCCACCTGTGAAAAGAACGTACAGTATGATTTTGTTCTCTTTTAAAGATATACATATGCCTAGAAAACAAATTGACATATAGTTACCAAAGTGTTGGTAGTGAGGACTTCCAAGTTGTGGGATTATGGTGATACTCTTTGTTCTTTGTGCTTCTCTGTAGCATTGAATATTATCTGGTAAGAAGGTATCATTTTCATCACTAGATAATTTTATGAGAAAGTCTGTTCATAGTGGTGAAATGCGTAAGGCCGTGTTCGGGGGACAACGCCATAGCTGCAGGGTTAGCTGTCTCTCGGGCTGGGCCGGGTACCTGGGCACCGGGAGAGGGGCCAGTCAGACACAGCGGCTGTGATTCAAGCAAGACCCAGAATGGACTTTGGAAATCACCCCTTTGGCAGAGGACCAGGTCTGTGTATAGACCTCCGGGCCAGGGCTCTTAACTCTGTGCTTTGGGGTTTCAGGTGACAATAGCATTTGGGGAGAGAAGCCCAGTTGGCAGCTAGGGTTCCAGGGCTACAGACGGAAGGGTTCAGGGGGTCCATGAGTTGGCAGCCTCTGGGGATAAGGGAGGGGGGCGTTGGGGGAAGGGTTCAGAGGATCCCCGCTGGAAGGCCACCTCCTTCTGGTCCCCGCTGCTTGGAGAAGGGTCCCCAGCAAAGAGTTCTGTCATGATGGGAGGTGGGGAGGGTGTGGGAACAGAAAGAGGCCCAGAGTTCCCGGGTTTAGGGAGGAAGGAGACTGGCCAGATGGTTTTTCTCAGCTCTGATCATCTAGCTCTGCTCTGTGGCCCTCGGAGCTTCTACCTTATGAAACTCTGAAGTGCCCTTGTTTCTCTCTTTGACAGAGACCACCTGGGAGCGTCCCAGCAGCTCTCCTGGGATTCCAGCCAGCCCTGGCACTCACAGGAGCTCTCTGCCTCCAACAGGTACTGTTCGCTTACCCCTTTGGGGCAGCTGGGAGGGGCCACACACCCACCTTCACAGGAAGGGTCAAGCCTGTGGGTCCTGGAGTCTGAAACCTGGCTGGTGATCTTATGCCTGGAGGGGTAGGAGGCCCCGCAAGCCTGTTGCCCCGCCTGGTGGCATTGCCCTGGTAGTGCTGACAGCAGCCTGGTAGCCCACCCTCACTCCTGCTCAGATGCTTAGGGAGAGGAGTCCGCTGGGTGAGGTGAGGCATCAGATCTCTTACCTGTCTCAGTGCAGGGACCTGAAGCAGGGACAGAGTTGCTCCACATGGTTCCCAAAGCCTTCAAGGAGTAGAAGTTAAAGGGAGCCAAATTTTTTTAGGGAAGCTTTCAGGCAGAACATTCTAGAAAGGAAATAGGATTCCTTGTGAGGGTATGAGTTTTCTGTCAGAAGACATATCAAAGGGAGGGAGTCGAGATAGATATTCCTGTAATAGGGGGGATGTTGCTACTATTAGGAAACATAGGGTTCTGAGATCCCAGGAGATCAGTTGTAAGTCACACCAGTAGGGAGAATGGCTTCTGATTTCTCGTGATTTAGGCCTTATTTTAAATGTCGCCTCCTCCAAGAAGCCTTCCCTGACCACTCAATTTAGCTCCTTCACCTAACACCTGGATCCCAGCTGTGTGCTGTCTCAGTGTCCTCAGAGAGTCATTCTCCAGTGTTTGCTTCCTGGTGGGGCGGGGGTGGGAGGGACTTGGCCTCTACTTTTCCTTTATGGAACCCTCAGTCCCGAGACAGAGCCTGGCCTCAGTGGGGAGTAAATGCACAGATGTCACCGCAGTCGCATGGTTTTCAACCGCATCTGTTGGTTTTCCACTTCAGGTGTCGACCTGGGTGATTGTGGGTATACCTGGGAATTTACATATTGGTAGCTCTGTACACGTGCAGTGGTTGTAGCTGGACAGAGGAGGGAGGCGCGCAGAAGGTGGGGAGTAGGGGGAGAAGCTCCTTCACCTTCATGGAATGCAAAGTCATCAGAGAGCTAATAGTTTACCTAGCACATCTCAGGTAATCAAAGGAAGAGCTAAAATAATACAAATAAATAAAAGAATAAAAACTAACTAGACTCTGAAACCCTGGATCAGGGGAAGGGAGGGCAGACGCAGAGAGAGTGGGCCTGACTCCCACCTACAGAGTGCGAGCCTTTTAGATCAGGGGTCCCCAACCCTGGACCACAGACCGGTGCTGGTCTGTGGTCTGTTAGGAACCGGGCCACACAGCAGGCGGGGAGCACCGGCAAGCAAGCGGACCTTCATCTGTATTTACATGTTTACAGCCACTCCCCATTGTTTGCGTTACTGCCCGGGCTCTGCCTTTTGTCAGATCAGCCAAGGCATTAGATTCTCATAGGAGCACAGACCGTGCTGTGAACGGCTCCTTCATGAGAATCTAACGCCTGATGATCTGAGGTAGAGCTGAGGCCGTGATGTGGGCGCTGGGCAGCGGCTGCAGATACAGGTTATCATGAGCAGAGAGGTTTGACTGCACAGAGACCATAATGAATCAATTGCTTGCAGACTCATATCAAAACCCTATCAGTGAGTGGCAAGTGACTATTAAGCTGCATCTGGTGGCAGGCAATAAAGGCACCCTGCCCATCCCCCCCACCAGCCCATGGAAAAGTTGTCCACAAAACCAATCCCTGGTGCCTAAAAGGCTGGGGACAGCTGTTTTAGATGTTCTCTACCACTGATGCATGAAGAAATCAAAGTGTTATCAAAGGACGTATTTAGGGATGTGAAGATCACCAGAGCTGAACTCAAAACCGAACTAGGGGATAGACCCACCTCTGGTGGAGCAGCTGAGGTGTGGGAGAGGGGGCGGGGGGGGTTCCCATGGCAAGTTCAGCTAGGCTTGTCTCACTTTTTATTTTATATATATATATATATATATATATATATATATATATATATATGTATATATATATATACTTTTGGTTTTTTAACTTAAAAAAAGATTAAAAGGCTTAACTTAAAAAAAGATTTTTTTTTTTTTTAAAAAAGGGATCGCCTAGTGGGGGAAGGAAATGGGGCATTGACTCCAGATTTCCTAGGGACAAGGCGAGTGCCGCATTATCAGCGACCAGATCGAGCCCCCAGAAACAGGCCCGTTCCCTCCTCCTAGCTGCTGTTTGACGACAGGCAGTCCCTGGCGTACTGACTTCTGTTTTGCTGTTTGTGTGTGTGTGTGTTTTAATAAGAGAAATGCTAGTGTGAGTGATGTGAGGTGTGGCCCTCTGTCCTGGCTGGCTCCGGGCCAGCCAGACACTGGAAGGAAACCAGCTGTCTCTTCCGGCCGTAGAGGTCCCCGGAGCAGGACAGGACAGGGACACGGGCAGCGGAAGCTTGGGCGTGGAGCGATGGTGGGTGTGAACTGCCACAGCCAGCCTTGCTGGCTGGTTAGGGAACCTGTCCTCTGAGTGGCAGGGATCACCTCCCTAAAGCCTGCCCTCCCCGAGGCTGTCCCCAGGCAGTGTCCTGTCCTTTTCCACTGTTTGTGGCATTTGGTCCCCAGAAGGGCGGCTGGGAGGCACTGGCTTAGACCCCCGGACCCTGCGAGGCCCAGGCATGACGCATGCCGGCCTTCACCCAATAAGCACCTAGGAGTCCTGTCTGTCCAGCACTGAGCTGGGTGTTGGGGCTCCAAGTGTGGCCAATAAAGGTGGGGAGATGGGCAGAGAGGGCCAGGTTCAGGGACGGGAACCGGTGAGGTGGCCAAGGTGTTAGATGTGTGGACACTGACATGCCCTCCACGGCTCCTGCCTCCTGAGGAGAAGTCTGGGGGGCCCAGGTCTATCAAGTTCTCTGCCAAAAAGGGCTTTGCAGCCCAGAGCAGCTGGAAACCTGCTTTACTCCCCTTTGGAGATGCACCATGCACGTCAGCGTTCTGAAGGCTCGGAGAAGGCTTGAAAGGAGACACCGGTCTCATTGGTGCTTCTGTCCCTTTGTTGGCAATATCCCCACCGTATCCACGAAAGATACATCTCCCAAGACTCCTAGTAAATGCCTGAAATCGGATATAGTACCAAATCCTATATATATACTATGATAAAGTGTAATTTGTAAATTAGGCCCAGTAAGAGATTAACAACAAAAACTAAAAATAACATAGAACAATTATAACAATGTACTGTTCTAAGAGTTACATGAATGTGGCATTATTACGTGAAGTAAGGGCTCCTTGAACACCAGCACGGCGGTACCATGACAGTGGTCTGACAGCCGCGCGGGCTCCTAAGTGACCACCGGAGCGGGGTGCGCACGCAGCCTGGAGACGCCGGACGGAGGGAGGATTCACACAGCAGGACAGGGCAAGATCTCCTCATGGTACCCAGAAAGTCAAGCAATTTAAAACTATGAGTTGTTTATTTCTGGAATTTTCCATTTAATGTTTTTGGATTGCAGTTGACCATGGGTAACTGAAACCGTGGACAACGGAACCGCAGTAAGGGGGGCTCCTGGAGGTGCTTGTTAAGCTTCTCGAGTGCAGCGGTCCTAACTCGGGGGACTCGGCCCAGCAGGGGACATTTGGCAATGCCGTCGTTTCTGCAGCCACCATTCAGGGGGAGTGGTGCAGGCATCCCGTGCGTGGGGGCGGGGGCACCGCCAGCCTCCTGCAGTGCCTAGGGCAGCACAGCCTCCCCCGCCCCCAGACGGTACCCAGCCCCAAACGCCGCCGGGGCCAGCGTGGAGAAGCGGGTTCTAGGGCCACTCACAACCCCGGGCCGGCAATGCTCAAGGGTCACCGGACGACAGGCCGTGACCGTGGAGATGAGGCGCGGCACAAGCCCTACAGAACCCCGTTCTTCGGTCCTGAGACCCACCTTTTGTTTTTTGTTTTTCCCCCACATTTGAATACAAGGCGGGGACAACAGTAGGTTTACTGTTGTGACCATGTGAAACACAGTGTTTATTCTTGTATTATTATTCATTCATTATTGTATTATTTTCCATACGAATGACTGTAAACCGCCTTTTGCCCTGCCCCTGTATCTTGGAAGTCAGGTGCGCCCTGCAATCCATGGTGTGTCCCAGTTGAACTGGAAGCATCTTTCTTTTCTTTCTTAATGTACTTAAAATAAGGGTGCGTCTCAGTCAGGGCCGTCTTGCATTTGCAAAGTTACAGCTTGTTAGGCGGGGCCTCACTCTGCCCATCCACAAACACAGGCCCGGAGGCCGGCCAGGGAGACGTTGCTCCCCACGGCCTCTGACGGTGATGCCCTCCCCCCCCCCCCGGCCTGGGCATGGATAGGCGCTGTCTCTCCATCCATCCACTCCCTGGGATGGAAGGGAAGGCGACCCACCAGGATCCAGGATAGTTTGACATCTTCCTTCATTTAGTTTTAATCTAAACCTCACAACTGAAGAAAAAAATTATAGCCACATGGGTTTTCTCTCTACAAGGGAGCACTGGGTTTTTTGCAGCCATTCTCTCTCTCATCCTGTTTTACAAGCAGCTTTCAGAAGATTGAATTTTATTGTGGGGAGAGAAATAGATTCAATGAAAACAGCAAGTAGCTTCCAAAGGGAGCCATCCCGTTCTCGTGGTCCTGTGGTTGCTGACCCCTCTCCTGGGGACCACTCAGGGCCCTGGATCTCAGCCCCTTTTGTTCGGCTTGTGCTTCCACAAGCACCAGTGTTGGCATTTCAAACCTTTTCATTCAAAAAATATGCCAGATGCTGTTCCCTGTGCTGGGGAGATGGCCACAGATAAGCCAGACCTGCGTGGTCCCTTCTCCCACGAACCACCATCCAGCAGGGGAGTGGGACAAACAAGCGCATGTGAGATATGTCAGATTTTCTTTGTATTTCCAGTGCAAGGGACGAAAGTAGGGCAGAGGGCCTGCCGGGCCAGGGAAGGTGCCAGTGCGGAGGTGCCAGTGCCAGGGACACTTTGAAGAGAACGAGAGGTGTAGGCGTGTGGGGTGGCGGAATGTTCTGGGCCAGGGTACAACTAG